CAGCAGCCTAGCCAGCACCTCACCTACACCCAAACCCACCTGCACCAGCCTTCAACCAGCCCAAGCCATCGCCATCCACCGAACACCCACCACCTGGCCACAGCCAGCCAGCCGCCACCCCGACACCCACCCACCCCTTGGCCACACCCATGGCCAGCCAGCCAGCAGCCACCTTACACCCACCCACCTGGCCACCAGCCAGCCAGCACAGCCACCTATACACCACCCACCATGGGTCGAGCCACCACGGCAGCCAGGGCCTCCCACTCAGCCAGCCCAACCAGCCACCTACACCACCCACCTGCACCAGGCCCAGCCAGCCAGACCTACCCACCCACCTGGCAACAGCCACGGCCACGGCCAGCCAAGCCACCTACACCAACCGCCCCTAGGCCACCAGCCAGCCAGCCAGCCCACCTACACCCACCCACCTGGCATAACACCAGCCAGTCCAGCCACCTACTACCCACCCACCTGGCCAACAGCCATGCAGCAGCCAGCCACTACACCACCCACACTGGCCACCAGCCAGCCCAGCCAGCCAACCTACATCCCACCCACCTAGCGCCACCAGCCAGCCAGCCAGCCACCTTTACACCACCCACCTGGCCCACAGCCAGCCAGCCAGGCCACTACACCCACCCACCTGGCCACAGCACAGCCTCCACCTACCCCTCCCACTGGCCACCAGCCAGCCAGCCAGCCACGCTACTACTCACACCACCTGGCCCACCAGACCAGCAGCGCAGCAGCACACCTACACTTCACCCACCTGGGCCAACAGCCAGCCAGCCAGCCAGCACCCAAGCTAACAAACACAGCGGAGACGCTTTACGATAGCGGAGCATGCTGTGCACATGCTTCGAACGCCAGGCTTGCAGGGCATGCACGGATGTGGGTAGCGCGATAGCAAACCTCGCAGCCTGATGCGGCACCAGGGTCCCAGCGGCCGACAGCCATTCAGCCACCAGGTGGTCATTCCTTGGCACTGGTGTGCGCTGTAACCTGTCGCATTGGCCCCTGAAAATTACAATATTAATAATCGATAACGCATGATGATGATGATAATGATGATGACGACTGATGACGATTTATAATGATTATAATGCGTGATCATGACGTGACAACAAAGGATGGACGACGGTGATACACCTCTTCGCAATACACATTCCCTCTTACTATTATCTCACCATTTCACCTTCACCCCACCTTCTATGCCCTCTCTCCTCCCTTCCTGCAGCCCTCCCCTCTCTTGGTAACCTCCCCATTGCCCTTGTACCCCCTCCCCACTCATCTTGCTAACCTCCCTGCCCTCCTCCCATTTCCTCGTACCCCCTCCCTCCCTCCCTCCCTGCACCCCCTCCCCCCAGCCTCTATGTAACCTCCCTCCCTCCTCCTTCCCTTGCACCCCTTCCCTCCACTTGCTTGTAACCTTCCTCCCTTCTCCTTCCCTCGAGCCCTCCCCACCTCTTGTAACCTCCCTCCCTCCAGAAATTCGTTGTGAATATCACGAGCAGCCGTGGTAGATATTTATTTTCACCCTAAACTCTCCTGGCTGAGATAGAAAGTACGAAGGCACCTTTTAGGTTCTCAATTATTCGTAGTTTAATAATCGTGTCTTCCGCCACCACTCAGTGGCTGTAGATTTCATGTGTAATTCACCACTGTGTAGGTTTATTAATTATCACTTCGTCGAAATAATTACTTTTTTGTGTCACGTTGATTGGTGTTTTTCAGTCAAATAGTACACATCGGTAAACGCTATTTGGGTTGACCTTTGACTCTGAGCTCCCTCTAACCACATTCCGGTTCTTGTTTTCCATATTTTCACAAAATGGGTTGTTACTCTCTTAATTTATTTAACAGGCATTTCTCTCTGTGTATTTTTCGCCCTCAGTTCTTTAGCGATTCCGTTAAAAAGGCATGTATACTTGTCATTATCCTCGCTATTGTTATATTTATTATAAAGACTTGGAGACTAACGATATGAAGACTAATGACTTGGGGTGCGCACCGTCCAGAGATAACACAGGTTGCTGATTCTGTCACTCGTGGTTGGTCATAGCGAACGTACCTGGCAGTCGAGATACAAGACCCGACGTGTCACCCCTGTGCGGCCCGATCACGGCCTGATCATCCACCCACAAGGGGAAAACAAATACAATACTATACGTCATATCTATCATTACACGTACTCATGTTTTTGTTAAGTTTATTAATCTGGTAGAAACATGTATATGGGGAATATACAAGTAAGGCGGGGTGTTACATATATTATAATATATAATAGATATATGCGGAAGAGGAAGCTAGAAGAAGAGAAGGAAAGAGTTAAGATTCCTGAGAAGCGTTTTGGTCCATCACTGTAACCAAGCTGTACGGCAACGTACTGTTGTGTGGTGGTGTTGTGTTGTTTTGTACGTTGTTTTCAACGGAAGAGGACAGTTTTATTAGAAGAAGAAAACAGATAAGCCTGTAGCTAGATTTCAGCGCTGCACCAGTCGTCGGCAGGGAGGATTAGATTGGTACATGACGCGTAGCTATTGTCACAAGTAATAATTCTATTACACTGATACATACGTAGGCCCTACACAGTTTCGTTCACGGCGAATGCATTTGTGGGATAAAATTTTATTTCATCATTTAAAATCAAACATCAGTTGAGCCGAAGCTTGCATATTTACAAGCAGCGCATATCCTTGCTAACCTCCACACTACAGCGAGCATATTGGCAATATAACAGTTCGACTCCACTTTGCAAAGCCGTAGATGACTGCAGTTGGAAGCTTTTCAGTTGGAAGCTTTTGTATAGCACCCAACCCACCAGATGGCGTGTTAAACGATCCCTCCCCCGTCAGAGACACAGACATCAGGAAACACGAGAATAAGGGGCCGCTAACCTTTAATTTGTCGTAAGTGATCGCTCGTTAAATTGATGGCCAGAAATTATGGAGTGGTTAGGAAGCACGGAAAAGGGAGAGATGGAGAAGCCAAAGGAAGAAAGATTGAGGGAGAGGAGGCGAAAACCACGGTGGCAGTGAAAGGAGTGAAGTAATGACGATGTAGGGAGTGGGAGGAAAGGGAGCGGGCATATAGGGAGGGCCAGATACATAGATAGAGAGGAGCATACATACTGACCCCCTCTCTAAATGCTGGGTTGGATTAATCGTTTAAGGGTGGTCTAATAGTGAATAATAACTAATACTAGCCTAATAGTATAATTGATTCGATTATAAATACGCACGTATTCACTATACGTACTTTCCCCGCGTACTACCTACTCGCTTTCCCAACTACGAGCAGTTTGCTATAGTACATTATGACAAGTACAACCTTTGTGCAAAAATAGATCGTAGCAAGACCAGCTGCTGTAGGTATAATATAATCAGGAGTGTATATTATAGGTCTATATTATACACTCATGATATAATAACGCTTGCTGCTGGTGTGAAATTACCCGATCCTATAACGCATTAACCGAAATTCATTTTTGGTCTGTTCGTATGCGAGCAAAACTACAGAAATAAGTTGCCACCAGATGCAAGTAGTAACAACGTCTGCTCTCGCGGTAGTCACGTTCCCGCGGGGTATTAGGAAAACGCGGACATGATATCGGCGCGGCAAGCAATAGTCACATCAGAGAACGAAGTAGATATGTACGGCCTCCAGTCCGATAAATAATTAGTCACAACATTAGTCTTAAACTATTAACATTACCGTAATTATGTTTCTAACAGTGGGCCTCTGGCCATTTTCATCACAATATAAGGCACATGATAGACAGAAGTGAGCACTCAATGTACGATATTACAATCTCTCGAGCACAAATCTTAACTGCTCGACGTACGGTCTTGATATTCGGGACGTCGGGGGGATCGCGAAAAGGACTCGAGATGTCGAATTTGGGGAGTCAAGGGTCAAAGATCAAGGTGTGTCAATGGAGGGGAAATATTTTCCCGTATAGGAGGAAATACGGAATTGCGGCACAAATCTCAACGGCTTGACCTACGCTCTTCATATTCTATGTATAATGTGATGGGGAGGAAACCAATCACCAGCGCGAAATTGGAGGTCACAGGTCAAATGGCAGTGGGGGAAAGGTCAGATATCAGACTTTTTCTGAGGACATGGTCTAACGGACCGAGTGCAAAACTTTTTTGTTTCAGTGCTGACCTACCATTTTTATCACTTTATTGAAAGGACCATGAAATTTGCTTTCCGCTGACGTGCGAAGAGTATAAGTGCTGAGGAGGGGTAAACACGGATTTGTTGACTGTTAACAAAGGACTGAACTGCTTTTGCTATTAGAGCCCCCTCCAGCTGGACCCCCACACTCCCCCTCCCCCACCCTCCTCCCACCACTACCATGCATGATACCATGTTAATATAGTGAAGTCATTAAAGTTACACAGGTGTATCTTTATTACTGTACTACTGATATAGCAAAGCCTATCATAGATTTTAGATCTGTAATAGTAGTATCCTAGATATATGCTCTGAGCGCGAACGCGGTGGCGGGAGGGCGCACTTGATTCGGTTGCCAGTGAGTTTATCAGAAGAATACCCGGCTACAGTACACGTCAGTTGAGCGCTGTCGCTCTGCGGCACTTGTTTATTACATATACATTATATCATATTAAAAGAAAGCGCGTCCTAAATGAATTGTCATATGCAACTAACAGTTGTATATAGTAGTCGCAGTAGCGAGCCCGACTTAGGAAGTACGAAGATATGCGCGTAATGTATGCCTGTAGCCTCGTCTACACGACGAACCTTAACTCGAGTTAAGCGTTAACTCGAGTTAGCTATTATGTAGCGTCTACACGACAACCACCCGATAGCGATTATTACCGATTTATTATGCATGCGTGCGTGCGTGTGTGCGTGTGTGCGTGCGTGTGCACGTATACGTGCGTACGTGCGTACGTGTGCACGTACACGTGCGTGCATGCGTGAGTGCGTACATGTGCGTGCATGTGTACGTACACGTGCGTGCATGAGTGTGTGCGTGCGTGTGCAAGTACACGTGCGTGGCCGTGCGCGCGTGCGCAGGTACACGTTCGGTGAGCTTCTGCGTTGCGTGCGGCGTGTGGCACGTACACGTGCGGCATGCGTGACATGTGCGTGCATGTGTGCGTGCGTGCGTGCTGCGTGTGCACGTACACGTGCGTTGCATCGCTCGTGCGTGTCATGTGAACGTACAGATGCGTGCTGGCGCGTGCTGCAGGTACTGCGTGCGTGTGGCACGTAACCTACGTGCGTCATGCGTGCGTGGCGTTCGCTCGCCGGTGTGTGCACGTAACACGTGCGTGCATGCGTGCGTGCGTTCGTCCGTGGTGGCACGAACACGTTGCGTCGAGCGTGCGTGTGTGTGCAGGTACACGTGCGGCGTGCGTGCGTCATGCATGTCACGTACACGTGCGTGCGTGTCATGTAACACGTGCGTGCATGAGTGTGTGTGTGCGGTGCAAGTACACGTGCGTGCGGCGCGCGTGTCAGGTACACGTTCGTGGTGCGTGCGTGCGCGCGTGTGCTGTGCACGTAGGCGTGCGTGCGCTGCGGCATGCGGTAGCACAGTACACGTGCGTGCATGCTGTGTGCACGACACGTGGCGTGCGTTCGTGCGTGGCGTTGCTACGTACACGTGCGTGCATGAGTGTGTGCGTGCGTGTGCAAGTATGCTTCGTGGCGTCGTGTTGTACGTACATTCGTACTATGCTGCCGCCTATCTGGGAGGTTAAGCTAACTCGGTTAAGCGTCACTCCACGGCCTTAACTCCAGTTAAGAGTAACTCGAGTTAGTGATGCGACTGTCGAAGGTTAAGCTAACCTGAGTTACGCTAACTCGAGTTACGCTTAACTCCGAGTTAACGCTAAACTGAGTTTACTAACTCGAAGTTAAGGCCCCGTGTAGACGCTTCCCGAGTTAATGATTCGTCGTGTAGACCGTAGCTTGTGTGTGTGTGTGGTGTGTGTGTGGTGTGTGTGTGTGTGTGTGTTGTGTGTTGTGTGTGCGGTAGCGTGCGTTGTGCGGCGGGCGTGGCGTGCGTGCGGGCCGGACGGGCGTGCGTTGCGTAGCGTGCATTGTGTGGTGTTGTGTAGTGTGTTTGTGGGGCGGGCGGGCGGAAAAGTGCGTGCGTGCGTTGCTGATGCGTGCTGTGTGGGTTGTGTGTTCGTGGTGTGTGTGTGTGTATGTGTGTGTGTTGTGTGTGCGACACGGAGTCAGAGAAGAGCAGTGTGGTGTATGTGGGTGTGTGGCGAGAGAGAGTGTCTTGTGTGTGTGTGTGTTTGTGTGGTGTGGGTTTGTGTGTGTGGTGTTGGTGTGTGTGTGTGCGCGCGCGGGCATGTGTGGTGTGTGTGTGTGTGTGTCGTGTGTGGTGTGTGTGTGTGTGTGTGTGTTGGTGGTGTGTGGTTGTGTGTGGTGTGTGTTGTGTGTTGTTTGAGCGTGTGACGTGTGTGACGGGTTTGTACGCTCGCGAGTGTATCGAAAAGAGACAATTACTATACAAAATGACTAGTTATTGTCTTATATGACAGAGTAATATAATATCAATGTCTAAATATAATGCTGTTGGTGTTTCGTTTTCCCATTAGAGTTAGAGACACGTTTTTCCTAGAACGTCGACGTACAGAACGCTATGAACGCTAAACCGTAGAACCATCTTTTTCGCTAAAGAAACGCATTTGACGATCGCCAACTTTTGGAAAGATAGCATTTTTGTCGCATATAATAATAGAATAATATAAGAATAATATAATATATTATAATAATCTAAAGAGAACAAAATGGCCCGCCCTGAAACGCAATGTATCCGTAAAAAATACATACTTTCAAGCAGGTGGTAAAAACAGCAAAATAAGTAATTTATCCGATGTTGGGCAAAAGCAGTGTTTAGTTTTTTCTTCTTTTTGTTAAAAACGAAAAACAAACACACATACGATCTGAACAATAACAAGAATTGGAAGTTTGGGTGTGTGGTAAGCGGTGTTGGCTCTAGATCAGTAGCCGGGTCAAATCTTGTCAATTACGCAAGTAGTAAAATATTCAAGCTGGCTGTTAACTGCAACGAAGCTAAATCTAAACACATACATCTGAGGCGTATCATGTAAGGAATGGTAAGATTTGGGGTCTGTCCAAGCGTATGACGGGCTTTGTATTCAATAATTCCTGTGTTCCAATCCAGGCATTACCAGATTCAAATATTTTCATAACGCCCTTGGCAAGGGATCCTCACCTGATATAGACACATATATTTGAAAGTGGTGAATGGCCATGGCCTTGAGGGCTCAGGCTATGGCTGGCCTACTAATGGGCAAAACTTTACAACTTCCAAAAAGTGCGTCAAGGCCAATGGCCTTGAGTTTCAAGGTATGACCTACTGTTAAAAACGTTTAAAAATGAGAAAGTAGGTCAAGGCCATTACCTTGAGCTCAAGGCTATGGCATTGGACGAGGTCTTGGTCAAGGTCAGTGTTGACAACATCGCCAGACAACAACAACGAGTCCTCAACAACCCAAACTACCAATGATCTACTGCAAACTTCTTAACAGTGTATGTTACAATTTCTTTGATGATTTTTCAGTAAAGGATTGTTGATAGCCTTTGAATAATTAACACCATATATAAAGAGGAATCTCGGGCGTTTTATTTGGAGTATATTTATTTGAAAGCATTTCAATCGTGAACGCACATGCATGGGATTACAATCAGGGTGCTACTTGCTCTAGTTATAGAGCTAGTTGTTCTAGTTCTAGTGCTACTTGTTATAGTTCCAGAGCTAGTTGTTCTAGTTCTATAGCTACTTGTTCTAGTTCCAGAGCTACTTGTTCTAGTACCATAGCTAGTTGTTCTAGTTCTAGTCTACTTGTTCTAGTTCTACTGCTACTTGTTCTGGTTCCAGAGCTACTTGTTCTAGTTCTATAGCTAGTTTTTTTAGTTCTAGAGCTAGTTATTCTAGTTCTATAGCTAGGTGTTCTAGTTCTAGTGCTAGTTGTTCTAGTTGAATGAGCATGAAATGAGAATTTCTGACAACGGGCCGCAGTCGTACACATAAAACGCGAGACCACATTCTCATACATGTATGGGATTGAACTTACAATAAACGATTAGTATAAAATACAACAAATTTTTCTAAAAACACGTGGAATATCAGTATCAAACACTAAGTTACGATGGTTCGTCTCAGAAGTCCCCCGACGCGAATCGGTGTGCATCATGCTCCCTCTGCCTCCTCCGCTTCTGCCTCTCCTCTTCTGCGGCATTCCTCTACCAGGGAAATTCTCACACTACATCAAGGCAAAGATTTTTCATATAATTAACTATGAGGAAACATATGACATCAATTGATTAAGTACTTAATATAATAAGTGGAATGATTTTCAAATTAATGAAACATGTAAGCTCAAGAGCAACGTTTACGAAACGTGAAGATTTATTGGATTTATGATTGGCGAAATATGGCGTCCAATAAAATAAAAACGTGCATTTGTACTTAATTAGGTTTGCATAGCTGAGGCAATTCTCGTCTGTCCTTATAACGTTACAGTAACCAGCATAGAAAAATGTGGATAACTAAATTTACTAATTTTTTTGGTTCTAATTTTTAATGTATAAATGTGTAATATATAAATAAGCCTAGTAATTAGTACACTAGTTTTAATAATAACAAGTCTCGATATATATTAATGAATATAATTAGTCACAACATTAGTCTTAAACTATTAACATTACCGTAATTATGTTTCTAACAGTGGGCCTCTGGCCATTTTCATCACAATATAAGGCACATGATAGACAGAAGTGAGCACTCAATGTACGATATTACAATCTCTCGAGCATGCGATCCACGAACGCCAGGCTATGTCTTGTTTCTCATGAACTTCCTAGCTTGTTTTCCACGTGTACCTTTAGGCACCCTGCAATCATCGGGCTACACTTCACACACGGAAACGTACCATAACTGTACGTTGGGTACACAACAACAGTGTATTATTATGCAGGTACCATTTTTCAACATTGCGTCCAATCTACCGAAAAATACAATCTAAAACTAACTAAAACCGCAGAGGGGGTAGCTTCGTATATCGTACTCGACTAGCGCCGCCTTCAACTTCTTATATCTCAACTTCTTCCTCCGTAACTTGCTTCATCTTCGGCCACGCATCTTCAATAAGAACCTGCTAAATTGACTGCTGGCGAATAGCTACCATTTCCTATGACGTGACTACGGCTGTTGACACCAAGCAGTTTTAATTGGTTTACTGTTACAAATCTGCCTTTAAATAAGCCTCAGCCCCAGTACCCAAAATCTACCCAACCTAGCATTAGCAGCGGCGTAGGTCACAAGTGGGTTTTATCGGTATCGTCCACCATTAAAGAGGAGAATGATATACAACCAACTAGTATCGATCAGGAAAGAGAGTAGGTCCTATACCGACTCAGCAGATGCATGAAAATCGAGCAGCGTGATACTAAACCGCATTTTTACAGGTCATTATTTCGTATAAAGTATATCTGGATACAGACAGGAGTATTTCAACAAATGAATTTGTATTGTCCACCAGGCCTAACAGTTACTATCCCTGCCTGCTCAGCGCGTAATATAAGTGCGTAAATGACGCGCGGAAATACGAAGAGAAATGTGAGGGCCGTAGCAGACGGATTGTAAGTGAAATCGCGTGAAATACGCGAGCGTTGAAATCGTGAGAAACAGTCAAAACAAAGTGAGTATCCTCAGTTAAAAGACGTTTTATCCCGCCTTTCTGACAACAAAAGACAGATTTCTTGCTAGAAATTATTAGACAACGCCCTCAAGAAGACCTCTGTTAATTTTTAAGAGTTTACCGCCACATTCACGTAACGATGTGGGCGTTTAAACGCTACTCTGAGCGAAATATGCGCATAACAAACTTTACTGTACCTAATACACTGCTAGTGACTAGGGATGCACCGGAACTTGGATCCGGCCGGATCCCTTCAGAAACAGTCGGCCGGAACCGGAACGTTTCCTAATTTCATTTCTGCTACAAGTGTTATCAAAATCAAAAGATTAGTCACTGGAGAGTCAATAGAGTCAACTTGCTGACAATATAGTGTTAACAACTTCACACTTTTCTGCCCACACGCTTGCCACTTGAACATTGGCTAACTAACTGAACTGAACCCAACTGATGTTAGGTGATTCATAAGATTTTCTTTCAAAATCAAATACTGTTAGAGCCACAGCAATCTCATCTGTCCGTTAGTTGAAAATAATAGACTAAAACCAGGGATACTGCAACATGCAGGTTTTGCCACAGAATTCGCTCATGAATAAGATGCCAGAATTATGCAAATTATGCACTGTAAGCAGCTGATTCATACACCTAACAGTAACAACCATTCTGTAATTAGAACTTTAAGCATTGTCCTACTTGCCTAAGTGATGTGCCTGCTAATGATATTTCGTTCAGGCCGAGTGAGCACGCACGCACGCACGCACGCACGCACGCTGCCAGCTATGTCACTCTGCATGTGTCTTCGTGAGTGTCTCAACAGGATGGATAACTCATTACCTGATCTAGGATCACACATCTCGGATCTCCAGCGAGTCCTTCTTGCCCCCCATTCACCACGATGTTTACACAGGGTGCGAAATTAACGGGAGTCCAGAGTCAAATACTTCCCGATTTACTGTCGGACTCCCTGATTTGACATATGCAGGAGTCCGTGTGACTCCCTGAAACTTCTGCTATACTTGTTTTGATTCTGTTTGTACGTAGCATTTTCGTTGTAGTTAATTTAATTAATAATGCGGAAGAAACACATTCTGTATTGTGCCCAAGATTTCTTGTTAGTTAAATTTTAATATTAAATCTTCAAAATAAGCACATGCATTATTGTTAATACTAATAGGTATCTTTAGTTTTGAACTTCAGACTGCAGACTCCCTCATTTTGCTGCGGACTCCCTCTTTTTGAGGGCAGGGAGTCCGTTGGACTCCCTTGTTTAAAAGTTAATTTCTACCACTGTAATTGCCCCAACACAACAACCTTTAATCCGACCTTTTAACCAACCTTTGACTTTGAACCGAGCTTTTAACCAACCTTTTACACTACCTTTTTCCCGACCTTTAACCTGACCTTTTGAACATCCGATCTCTGAACTCACCTCCGCAGTATGGCTATCTCGTTCTCTAGAGTCTTCTTTGCCCTTCAGCACGACCTTTACCCTAACCCAACAACCTTTTCCCCAACCCAACAACCTTATCCCCAACCCAATGAGGTTTTATTCAATCTTTGAACCCTGACCTGACCCCCCCTGACCTGACCTTTGAACCCATGACCTCTGCACTCCTCCGCAGTATGGCTATCTCGTTCTCCAGGGAGTCCTCTGCCTTTCAGGGCCTTTTTGTTGATGCATTTTATGGTGACGTGTTGCGGCTCCTTCCCCGTCCGACTCTGCGCGAGCACCTCCTCCGAAAAAGCACCGCTGAAACAACAACACGAGAGCATTCGTCAGCGCCAATAAACACAAGAGCAGCCGTCAGCTAGCGGGCGCGGTTGAGTAACAAAAGAACAGTCGTTCGCTCCTTTCCCGTCCGACGCTGAGCGAGCACCACACTCGAGAATGCAAAGCTGCAAAACACAAGAGCAGCGGTCAGCGATCGGGAGAAGTTGAGTAATGCAAGAGCATCACCTTGGTGGGGGACCTGCTGAAAAACACAAGAGCAGGCGTCCGAGATCGGGCGGCCCCGAAAAACACAAGATCATCACCTCCGATAAAATCCTAGAGGCTACTGTCCCTAGAGCAATGTTTACGAAACGTGAAAATTTATTGGATTTATGATTGGCGAAATATGGCGTCCAATCAAATAAAAAAGTGAATTTTAACCTCGATGGTAGAAAACATTTGCAGGTACACCACGCACGCACGTGTACATCCAAACGCACACACGCACGCACGCACGCACGCGTGCGTGCACACACGTGTACATGCACACGCACGCATGCACGCAGGTGTACGTGCGCACGCACGCACGCACTTATATGTGCATACGCACGCTCGCACGCACTCACGTGTACCTGCACACACACGCACGCACGTATACGTTCACACGCACGCAGGCACGCACGTGTACGTTCACACGCACGCACGCACGCACGCACGTGTACTTGCACACGCACGCACGCGCGCACGTGTACGTGCACACGCACACATGTACGCACGTATACGTGCACACGCACACACACGACGTAGAAGTCGATGCTAGATGCTGCACTCACCTGTGCATCGCCTGCACGTGGTGTGATGTTAAGCTCAGCATGCTCCATCGAGTCATCCTGACTGATGTGCCGTTGCTGCTGAAACAGCATAGCAGCTGTCTGCTCTTCTCGCTGTGCCGAGGCAGGCGCATGTGACCTACAGCGACACGGTGATTAGATGAATTCGCACGAAACATGGCAGCCTCTGGGTGTTTTCAAGTTACTCATGTTTTAAAGCAATGTTGCTTGTCTGTATCTATAACGTGCATACTTGTGACTTAAACCGAAGCACTACCGGTTACGGAATTTTGTCGGTGCAATTGCAATTTGACTAAAATTCATCATTCAACATGCGGTTAATCAATATGCAGTTAAAGAATCCTTACGCAGTTAAATCCTCTTGCAATTACATTTATCTACCAGTATAGTAAATTTGACACTGTCGTTCAACTATCGAATTTTGCGACGGTGGCAATGGACAGCAGTGGCCCTGCACAAGTCAAAACAAAAGCTGCATGGTCACCTCCACCGAACCTGCAGCACACGTTCCGAGTGTAAGGAAACATGCACTTACGGTACTAATGTCGGCCGCTCCCACTGCGTTCTCCTGTTTATGTTGTCGACGTAAAACTGCCGGCCATTCCCATCGAACTTCTCCTGCCTTCCGAGAGGCAGTGGTGGTGCCTCCGTCCGATGAAGGGGCGTTACTTGATCCGATACTCCCTGCCCGACTTTCCCTTTGCTCCGACTCGACGTTCTCTTTCCCGCCGTTTCTCCGGCGGACTCCCGCGTATCTGCGTCGTCTCGGTCGTCGGGTGCCTGACGGGCAGACGGACGACGGGACGCTGCGTGGGGTCGCCGCGAGTGGGTCGCCGTCGATCTCCGCGTCTGATGACACCAGAGGCGTATCTAGGAAAAACAGCGCCCGGGGCAAGGGCTAAAATTGCGCCCCTTCCAACTTCCGAGGCTCTCCGGGAACTGCCGAACTTATACGCCCAACAGGCCTACGTAGGCGCCGTAGTAGCCTACGGCCCCGGCAGGGGCGTA